TGGGGAAGGGAGCACACTGTGCCACGCAGGGCCACCAGGGAAATAAATACCAGTTTGACTTGGCAGAAGCAAGCATGAGGGAAGGGCCTAGGCCAGAGCTCCTGTGGGACAGGTTGAGCAGGGCAGAGTGAGGAACCCATCAGCAAAATCAGAAGACAACTGAAAAATGGGAGGAAATGTTTGTAATACATGTCAGAGAAGAAGGGCTGATCTGTGTAGTGTAAAAAGAACTATTCTTTCTTCTGGTTTGGAGATAAGCAGAGCTGGAAAGAGTGACACTCTCATCTCTACACAAGAAAAGAACTGAGGTCACAAAGCAACAATCAACAAAAAATTGGGTGCCTGGAAAGAGAAATTAGGCCTGAGCACTCACAACTAGGATAGTTGCTGCCCAGTGATATATTAACCAGCAGGAAGATTAAACTAGGCAGTTTTAATGAACTGCTAAAGGCTCAGTGTGAGATGCAAAGGCCTGCAGGTCACAGGCTCTCTTGGTGGAAGGGAGAAGTATGTAAAGAATGCTTTCCCTGTGCTAGAAAGGGAGGAAGAGCAAAATGGTCCACACCCCATCAAACCCATGTCCCCAGTCTCCTAATTAAAAAACACCATGATCTGCAGGGAGAAAGTATCAAAGCTATAGTTTGAGGACACTGGTGAGTGCTCAGTGCAGCTGGTAGAAGAGAACACGCAGAAAAAGAGTAAGTTCAAAAGCAAGTGTGTTCCTGGACAAGGGGCAGGACCACCTGTGAGTCACACCTGCAAGACCCCAGTTCACTGTACCTGCTTGAGACCACAACCTCTCACTCACACTGCAACTACTGCATTAATGAGCTGTCAATAAGAATATCATAGTGGAATAGGGCTGGGCAAGGTTTTGTTTTTTGATACTAGGCACATGCTCTACCACTGAGGTACGCCACAGTCCATATTGGGTGACTTACAATTAACAGTTTCTTTCTAAAGAGCAGCACAAAGAGAAAACCCAAAACCAAGCTAAAGACAGAATAACACAAGAGTAACTTGAAATCCCTGGTCTCCACAGCAACAACAAACTCCAGCTCTGGGAATCATAGCAACAACAGGCTCAAACCCAGCCCATCTCCTGGACTAGTTGAACACAAACCCCCACAATAAAGGCTTAGCCCAAGGAAAGGAAAATTCTGGATGCTGAGAAGTCCAGGATCAAGGCCCTAGCAGGCTCATGGTCTGGTGAGACTGCTGTCCCCTGTCAAGATGACCCCTGGATGTGATCTTGCATCCCCTGGGTTCAAGGGGCACCGTCTTCTGGTGGCAGAAGGCAGAAGGGGAGCCCTGATGAAGCCTGTTTTGTAGAGGCCCTAATCCCGTTCATGAAAGAGTAGTCTTCAAGTCCCCTGTCTTAGTGCTGTCACACTGGCCACTAAGTGTAGCACCTGAGTTCTGCATGGAGCACATTCAGACCACTGCAAGGCCCACTGGTGTTAGTGGACGGCCAGGCTCTTGGACTCCAAGTCTGAGAAAATGAGGCAGAAAAGGGAGCCCGGGAACTTGTAACCATGCCGGTCTTTGGGTTCCATGTCTGCTTCCTCCTCTCCACTTTCCAAGAGTCATCTTATGCTTGATTTATATATAATACACAGGATTTTCAGTCCAGGGATTAGCTCAGTGGTGCCCCCACCTGCCTCACAAGGGTAAGGTCCCAAGTTAGATCCCAGTACCAAACAAAACAAAACAAAACAAAAACATAGGGTTTTTACTTGTACTTGGAGGGAGTGATAGGAAAAAGAATATATATTCCATTGCCTCAAAAGTAAATATTGGCATTAAGTATTCATATATATTTTTCATTTTCCTTCAGTTCAAATTATTTTCTAATTTCCCATGTTATTTTTCTTGGGTCCATTGTGTATTTAGAACTATATTGTTTAATTTTCAAATATTTGGAGGTTCCCCAGATTTGTGTGTTTTAAAATATCACTTGTAATAGCAACAATTGCACAGTCTGCCTAGGGTGATACAAGCGGTTTCTGTATCAAGTTTCTCTCTATCCTGCTTTACTCTTCAGAGGCACTGTTCTGATCTTATTCCCTCTTACGGTTATCTGTCTATGGTTAACATAAGAATCAGACAAGAAACCTGTTTCTTATACCTCCAACTTAAGTTAATGTGGACTTACTCTGCATATGTAAGAGGAGGATTTGTTCCAGTATTCAATAATTATTATTTTTATCTTTAGCTCTTTCAATTTATTATGCATTGATTTCCTAAACCATAATCTTAGAGACCTTAACTACTTTTTTCTTTTTACTTATTTAACAATATTTGATAATTAAGAAATATTTTAATTTTGTCTTTGATGTTATGAAATAGTAACTATTATATTACAACTGTTTCTAAAAGTTGATAGCATTATAGTGGACAGGTAACAAGCCTTGTTTTCTGAGTCTTATTTTCATGTTTTGCAAACACAGTATTGAGACCTAGATTTATTGCCACCTAGATTTATTGCCACCTAGATTTATTGCCACTCAACAATGTTCAGTTGTATATTCCTACCTCTTGCACTTGTGAGATTAATTTCTCACATGAAGCTAAAAACTTAAGTTTAGATCAATGTTTTGAAAAGGTAAAAGTATTTATTGCTTGCCATGTGCCAACATTTTTATTGTTGTTTGTTTGTTTGTTTGTTTGTTTGAGACAAGGTCTCATTCTGTAATTCAGGCTGGTCTTGAAATGACTATGTAGCCCAGGCTGTCCTTGAAGTTACAGCAGTCCTAGGCCTCAGCCTCCAGAATGCTGGATTATTGTCATATGCCACCATACCTGGAAGCATTTTCTATGCAAACCCTCATCTCCTCTCCCTCTTGCACATGAGGCACCATGGCTGAAGTATTCCTTGAGGCCAAAGAAATAGTAACTGGTACAATTCAGGATTTCACTTAAGATCTGACATGAAAGCCCTGCTTTCCCTGCTGTGTAGGAGGAGTGCATCCCAGAAAGGAATAGAATTCCAGATTTAGTGCACATTTTAATACATTACCTTTGTGTATGTGTGAGAAATGCACAAGACTAGGAATGATGTGATAAATTTTAGCAAAATGTTGAGTTTTTAAAGATAAAATGATAAGATAGTAAATCTACACTTACTGGACATGGAGATATTTATGCTGTCGCTTCGTGATGTATATTCTATTACTATCTAAAGTATGATCTCAATCTCCTTATATGATACAGGTACTCTTAACTGCATGCTTCAAATGCCCAGGAAGGTAACCAAAAGGATGCCGACCCAAACGTTAAAGGTGTTATCTCTGGGTGCTTCTCACTTTCCCTTTCCAATTCTTTATTTTTTTATGTTTTTCCCCAGTGATCTCACATTATCATCAAAATTCAGTTAAGTAGTTTTTTAAAAATCTCTCAGATGCAAGCATTTTGTTTGTAATTTTTTTCTGTTGTTTGTTTCCCCCTTGTCTTTGTTCTTTCAAAAATGGATTATTGCAGATTGGGAAGAATTTATTAATTAAGTCTTCTGCTTGATCTTTAAATGGACACAGGAACTATTGTTCCATTTCATTCTAGTTTTTAAAATAATGTATTTTAATGAAGAAATAAGTTCCACAATCTAAATGAAGTGTTATCAAATGTTCCTACAAATTTTCATACTTTTGCATTCATTACCATCATATTTTAATTATATGCTTTTATGAGGTCTTTTTTTTTCAGGCCTAAGGATTGAACCCAGAGTTCCTCCCAGGCCTTTTTAATCTTTTGTATGGAAACAGGATATTTCTAGGTCATTAAGTTCCCCAGCCTGTGTTCAAAGTCATATTCCTCCTGTGTGAGGCTCTCAAAGTGCTAGGATTACTAGTATGTGCCACTGTGCCTGACTTAATGTTTAGCTTTTAGTTATTTATACTACAGAGTTGATTACTACATATATAAATATTACTTTGTATATATATATGTGTATATAATTTTAAATGATTATTTCCCAAATGATATTTAAATAAATTTGCCAAAGTTTGTAATGTCAAAGACAATCATCATAAAATGGTATTTTGGAAAAATCATTATGATGAGAATATATTTTCTTCTGTTATATCTTTGTTTTATCTTTTGTAGGTAGTCCTAGCTTTCTGGTATCGCACATTCACAGGAATAATGAATTTATTTGAGGTGGAAACTAAGACCTGCTGGAATGTCACCAGAGTGGGATTTCCTAGTGAAGTTGAAAGCTGTGAAGGTCTGTATCTTCCTCCAACCTGCTATAGCTGTCCTTAGGGCTTCATAAATACAAGAATCACCGCAAACAGCTGTGACTCAGTTTTTCCTTTAAGCCATACTAGAAATGACTTGTCTCAGTGATTATTTTACACTTCAGTTTTCTGAGAAGGCTCTATAGTTGCTAACTTGAATATAAAATTGGAATTTAATTTGTCTATTAACTTAGCCCAGTATCAAGCAAACCTGAGTAAAAGTCTTCCATATCAGAATGAGATAATACAAATAAGAGATGTTTTGAGTGACTTCAATATATAAATGTTGGGGATCAATTAGTCAAATATATACCTGTGATAGTGTGTTAATGAAGTAGCATAAACATATTGAAAACTCGGATTCAGGTTATAGTGGCAACATTGCTGCATAATCACAGTCTGGTGGGTAATTTAACTAGACTCTTCCTATGTATCATCCACATTAGTGTCTTTGTCAAATAACCACTTTTGGAATTCTGTAACAGTTCTCCAGGACATGCAGTGGTCACTGCTATTTAAAATGTGTGCAGTTCGGCACTTTGGCGACCCAAGGACGTTGTTGTCTCCTATGTCACATATTTCTGCCTGCATAGCATTTACACAGTTGTTGCTTTATTTCTTCCACTTTCCACAACATGACTATTTACTATATTTTATAAATATGTTTTTATGGATTTGCTTATAAGAACATCCAACTTTGAAAATATAAACTAAATATATATATCCCTTGTATCTTTACTGATTCCCTTAGGTGATCTTTATAAAATCTAAAAATAACACTGACGGAAGATATTTTAGGGACAATTAGACTTTTTGTTTATTTGTTTACAACATAAAGGAATGGAGAAAATACGTTGTAAATTGAGAGTTGGTAATGACCTGGTCAGCCAGAAGGTATAGCCTTTTCTGAGAGATGAAAGCATCACTTTCTAAAGGGACATATATGGTACTTCCTAAGTTCCCAATAAGTGACAAGTTAGAATTTGGCAGTTAGAATGTAGCAGTGGCCCAGTGGACATGGTCCTTATCCTCTTGGAGACTGAAAAGAGAGCAAGTGACAGAGGCTAGGGAGAGCCAGTGTTGAAGGGAGGTTGCATAAACAAGCGAGGTTATAGGACAGACTGGAAGGAGTGGCCAGGGAGGCAGGAGGGTCACAGGGCCAGCCTTCAGGTCTTGGTTCCAGCCAGTTAGATATGAGAAACTTTTTGCAGGTTATTTAAGTTCTCTATTTGTTTTCTCAACCATAAAAATACTTTCGTGTCAATTAATCTCATCAACTTTGAGAATTATGTGAAGTGATGATTATAAAACAAATAACTACTATACACACAATCTTATTTGTGGGATATATTAAAATTCTAGCTCTCAGTAATAATGGAACAAATAACTGGATTATCTCTTTTGGACTAAAGGCTGCTCTTTGAAGTCAGAGACTTTATATTATTCATCCCAGAGCCTAGAAAAGATAAAAAATAATGCAATGGCTTTCTCTTGGAAGTCATCAAATGGCTCTACAGTTAAGTTCCAAACACTGAGCGATAGCAGCATCTTTATTAATGAAAAGTCCCAACAATGATCTCAGTATAAGAATAGTTTATTAGAGGAACTTATAAATGTAACTAGATAATGCACTATAGGGGCTGGAGATGTAGCTCCATGGTACAGCCCTTGCCTGCAATGCACAAAGCCCAGGGTTTTATCCACAACAACAGACCCCCCTCACACACACACCTTATTTATGCTAAAGATTACTGCAACTATTAGAGCATCAATCTGAAATCAAATGCTTTCAGCACATTCACGAGCTTTTGAGTAAAAAGCACCGAGAGAATTACGCTCCTTACTCTGTAGCCATTAGTTCACTAAATGCTGAATAATCTGTGTCTTTTCAAAGGATTTGGAGACCCTGCTTACTTTTATGTGGGGGTGATTTTTATCTTAAATGGTCTCATGATGGGATTGCTCTTCATCTATGCTGCATACCTGAGGTAAGAACTGACTGAGCTTATAACCACTGGCTGATAATTGTTGATTACATTAAAAGGGGAATTAATAAAATTAATTAATCATAGCAACATTTGTAGATTTATTTGATTTTTCAGATCCTTAACCAATGTCATGCAACCAAAAACTGGGAATGTCACTAAAAGAATACCTTAAATAGGGCCAGGGATTTAGCTCAGTGGTTCTGGCACCTGCCTTGCAAGCACAAGGTCCTCAGTTCGATCCCCGGTACCAAAAAAACAAAAACAAAACAAAGAATACCTAAAATAAGGCCTCCCTTTTATCTTTGTGGCAATATTTTTTAGCTAAGATTTCTCTGCCAAGATTTTAATGAAAATACCCCTCTTCCCATCTAAAGTTATTACATTAGAGGGATCTCTGGTTAGCATTAATTTATTCCCATTTTATTCTCTGTAAATGTGGGATTAAGAAATCTGTAAAAAGAGATACATCACTTATAGCAGACACTCATACTTGTTAGTCTGGCTTTTTTGATAACAGCACCACAACTTTAGAGGAACAGTGTGCCCCATTTCAGACGGTAAGTTGAAGTTAAATTGGGACAATCGTATGTTTTGGTCCCAGTCTTCACTGCTCTTTGGAAGAGCTCTATGAGCTAGCTTTTGCCAGTGACAAATAAGGGACCTCAGAAAGTATTTGCCTTTCTCACAAAATGATGTATGCAGCTGTCCCTCCTGTATTCCTTCTGCTTTTACTTAGATGTGACTCCTGGAGCCAGGGATTTAGCTCAGTGATTCCGCTGCCTGCTTTGTAAACACAAGGTCCCAAGTTAGATTCTTGGTACCAAGAAAAAAAAGATGGATGTGGATAGATGTGACTCCTGGAGCCACAGCAGTCATCTTGTGGCCATGAGGGAAAGTCTATAGAAATACCAGACATATCTGGCCTAACATACTACTAAACCAGTACCAATAGACACTTACCTTTTATTTTATTTTATTTTTCTGTTGAATGATATAATAAACATCCATACTGTTCAGGCCACTTTTGTCAGATTTTTTTGTTTCTTTCACTGAAATATATTCCTAAGTAAAGTCATCAGCTTTCTTTACAATGTTATTCATGAAATTCAAAACATTTAAAGTTAGAAATCTAGATTTAATTGTCCTACAAATATTTACTGAATGTTCATGGGGTGTATGTCAGTATAGAGATTATATATGTTAGGTAAACAGTGACAACCCAATAAAGAACACAGCCAGCCTGACTTTGAGGTTCTGGGCGGGACCTCCTGGAGTGACTCCAAAGAGAGTCGGAGCCGAGTTTATTGGGCTGAGTCTTTTCTGGATAGGGCTGGGAGTTGGTGGCATGGGGTAAGGCAGAGTGAGGCGAAGGGGCGGGCATGAGATTGAGGGAGGGAGAATAGCCCAGTACACGGCCCCAGCAACAGCTCGTGTTCTCCTCTGGGTGCGCTGTGACCTGGCAGGTGGAGCGGGTGTGCGTGTCCTAGCAGAACACATGGGGTGGCTACAGGATGCGGGGACTGACTGCGATTGTTCTCGGGGCTCAGCCAGTTGCTCTGGGAACTCGGACAGTCGGGGACAAAGAGAGCGGTCAGGCCTATCAGTATACACTCTTTGTTTTCGGGTGGTTTTTGGCATAGAATTAGTGAAAGTTAGTGATATATTTAATGTTGTAACAGGTATCCTATCCAGAACAGAAGATTTGAAAAAATATAAGGCTTGGAAAACTTGACAAAAAAGTAAATTTTTTTCAAAAGTAGTTCACATTGTTGTGTTTGTAGAAAATAAAAACAATTATAAATAAAGCATTTGAAACAGAAAATTTATGATACCTTAACATAAAAAATTCATATACAAAATTATAAATTCCTGTGCTAGCATCAAAAAATGAAATTTTAAAAAGACGCTATTTAGAATAGCATTAAAATCATCAAGTTCCTAAGAATAAATCTAACAAAAGATAGATATGACCTTTATGAGAAAACTGTTAAAAGTTTATTGAGATGCATTTAAGAAAATCAAAATAAATGGAGAGATATACCATGTTAAAGGATTGGAAGATGACAATCATCCAAACTGATTTACAAATTCAATGCTGTATCAGTCAACATGCTGTCATAATTTTGTTGACCCCTATTAGCTGATTTTAAAGTTACTTAGAAATGCAAAGAGCCAGATATAGTTAGAACATTTTTGAAAAAGATAAAACTTGATTTCTCAATTATTGTTGTATCATGACGCTAATGTAAATAAGACAGCATGCTAGACAGATGGATCACAGGAATAGAGTAGAGGCCAGACACAGAAATGTACATTTAAAGACGCTTCATGTATGACAGAGCAGATATTGCAGACTGGTGGGTAAAGATAGGATTTTCATGAATGGTGTTGGACCTGTACATTGATAATCTCAGAATCAAGATAACAGCTGTCTCAGGAGTATCCAATGGGGACTCAGGGTGGAATCATTTCTCTATTTGACCACATGGATGTTCCATTCATAATTGTTCTATAAACAAGAGATTTTATATACTTCTCTATGTGCCATATAGGAGACTTTGGAAGGATAGCTTGGGGATAAGTTTTGTCAGGCTTAAATGTTCTACTTTTGAAAATAGTTTGTACTAATTTCTTCTTTAATGTGGAAAACACTACACAGCTGTTACTAAAACTTTTAAACCAGTGTTTTTCATTAGGAGGGCTACCCAAGAGTGCACACTCTCTCTAAACTGGTTACACAGTTCAGGAATATCAGATACATTAGCAGTCTCCATTCTTTAAGAAGGATATGTGGATGTAACCAATATGAACTATAAAAATGTCACCAAAACTCTGAAGAGATTACAAACTAAAGTATGTGAGAGAAACAGAAGAAATACAAATTGGGGCACTACCTTGGAATGTAGGCACTCTGTTTCTGTCCCTTGGGTGACTAACCATAAAATGCACATTTAACTTGGTTAAATCTGAAATGAATCCATATCTTTCCCTTCTTCTGATCAGTACACAGAACTGTAGAGTGCTCTCCTGAAACACCTGTCACGTCTTACATGTTAGTACCACAGTCGGTATTCCTGTTACCCCTCCACAGCAGCCAGTATTATTAATAGTATTGTGGGGGTTGTCATGTTTCATTTCATCCACATGTTCACGTGTTCAGAGTTCTGTGTGCACAGCCTGTCCTTGCTTCTCACGCTTCCTTCTTTCAATCTCTTCCTTTTTAAATTTTTTTCATTTTTTGATACCGGGGATCGAACTCGGGTCCTTGCTCTTGCGCAGAAGGTGGTGAAACCACTGAGCCAAATCCCCAGCCCTCTTCCTTTTTGCTGTACAACCCCTGAATTTCCTTTAGCGAGAGTCCGTTTATGGTCACCCACTTCCCAGTCACTTTCCTCTGCTTGCTTTTATGAACTTCTTCCTTTCTTCATTCATCCACCCAGTACTTACCGTCTTCCACGTATGGAGCTGGGATGGGATGTGGTGACCACACACAGCCATGACAAGGCAGCTAGGAAATGCTTCTCACTCTCTGATGGTTATTGGTTGCCTCGTACATTACTGCTTCCTTCCAACTCAACAAAAGAATATGTATAGTTACTTAATTCTGTGACTGTTAAACAAAACTGGTAGACTGTGTCTCTCTCTCAGTCACTTAAACTCACTTTCAAAAGGCAAAATTGCCTCCATTTAGATTATTCAAAGAATGTGGCACAGATTTAAGTGCTAGTCTGTTGGCTTAAAAGAATATTTTTTATACTGAGGCTTGAACCCAGACCAAGTTCAAATCTGCAATCCTCCGCCTCACCTTTGCAGAGTGCTTGGATTATAGATGTCACCGCCATGCCTGGTTTGTTAAAAATTATTCTATGTTCACAAATTATGTATTTTATTTAGAAGATATTTTAAATATAATAAATTATAAAATGTAGACTATATTATATGTACAATTTGTATGCTTGTATTTTCAGGATTAAAACAATGACTACATAGGTACTTTTGCGATTTTTACTTTACTTTAAAATTATTAAAAATAATTTTAAATTGAGAACATTTTTTGAAAATTTCATCTTATTTTACATGAATTGTGATTTCCTACTTTCTTTTTTTTTTCTACAGTGAGTCTCAATTAGGAGGTCTAATTACAGTACTGTGCTACTTTTTCAACCATGGAGAGGTTTGTTTTCTGGGAAATAATTTTTAAGGAAATATAATCATTAAAACAATATATAGTTGCATATTAATTGTGAGTTGGCAATATTTGGTAGAACCTTATGTTGTAAGTTGGTATTTTAATTGTGTTGATCTAAATTTTTAAATCATTAGGAGTTAAAATATATGAAATATCTCACCTGGTCTTTAGTGAGTGCTTACACATACATGTGTTCTGTAAAACAAAGGAAGTACTGTACTTCATGAGTCAGACACTTTCCATTCTTGCGTTTATTCCTAGCAAATTCTGTTGGAGGTGGTTGCTATCCTTACCATGTACATTCTGACACAGAGTTTTACAGAGCTTAGATTATTTACCCAGGATTTCCCATTCTCTACTTGATGAAGCTGAGGTTCCCTTCTCCCCCAACACTGGGGATTGAACCCAGGGCCTGCACACTGAGTTATATATCCCTAGGCTGGGCTCAAACTTGTGATCCTCCTGCCTCGGCCTCCCAGAGTGCTGAGATTACAGGAGTGTGCCACCATGTTTGATGTATATTTCACTTTTTGTATTGTGGTAAGAGCACTTAACATAATATCTGCCCTCTTAACAATTTACAACACTGTAATAGAGTATTAACAAAACCCTGTGCAGCAGATCTCTAGAATGTGCTCATCTTGCTCAGATGAGACTTTGTGCACTTGCACTTCTCCCAGGTTGGAAGCCGCCCTGGAGCCTGACCATGGGTACCAGGCCGAGGCTTTGCCACCCAGCACCTTGCTTCTGTGTCATCTTGACACAAAATGCTGAATTCAAAGTAGAGATTTCCTTACTAATTCATCCCAAAGGAACATAGTTCACCAAAAAGAGCTCATAGAAACTCACGGAGAATAGAATGGATCATTGTGAGATCCTGAGGATTTGGCAGTGAGAGAGAGTCCGACTGCTGCCTCTCGGAAGCGGAATATGTACTGTGTAATGCCGCGGGTTATGTAGGGTAGAAGTCTTTATGCGTTGCTAGTGGGTTAAGTCTTAAGTCAGTTAGGTAAGGGAATAACAAAAACTATGCTTAAAATGCTTTCGATACATTATTTCAACCTAAAGCAAACAAATACCTTGTCATTAAATAATCCGTTGACATAAAGAAAAAGCTTTGTTTCTGAGTATGTTAGACTACGAGTGGTATGAATTAACTTTTTATACAATTGTAATTCATCTTCCAAGGTTTACAGTTTGAGTGTCTTAGAATAGTAACTTTTGAAAGACGGTTGCAGAGTACTGTGATAAGATTTTAAATTAGAGAATTTTGATGCAAAATTTTTATCAAACTCTGACCTGTATGTTTTAGAAATTGTCTTAGGGACTGGGGATTTAGCTCAGTGGTTCCATCGCCTGCCTAGCAAGCACTAGGTCCCGAGTTCAATCCCTGGTACCAAAAAAAGAAAAAGAAATTGTCTTAAAGTACACATGAATATTTAATACTTACATTCTACCCATCACATTACTTACATGGTGTGCCTCACATTAGTAATTCTCATTACTTCCAGTGGCCTTTCACATTTACAGTTAACTCTTAAGGATGTATCGCACACAATCGGGGCATCTTGACTACTTGTGCCACCTGGACTTGTTACATGTAAACTCGGTGTTCCGAATGCCCCGGGTGACACCTGTTCGAGCAGTGTTGTGGACAGGTCTGGAGGTCAAGGCCCAGCTATCTGGGTCACATCTGTGGGGCTGGACTGTGGATCTGGCCCAGGAATCCTCACAATCCTCATCAGCCTTCTTGGGTGTCGCTGGGGCTTGCTGTGCTTGGTCCCACAGAGCTGGCACTTGTTCTGAGCTTTAAAGTTGGTCGCTCTACTCAGTGGTCCCATGTGAGGAGCTCCAGAACGGAGAAGCTTTGCCTGGCTTTCAGAAGTAGGACTGAGCAGGCCTGGGGTTAAAGTTCCCGGAGGAAGCCAACCCTGGTGTTAGGCGAATGATGTTTGCTGTCGTGGACCTGATGTGAACCCAGACTTTCATTCATCTCAGGCCACCCGTGTGATGTGGGCGCCACCTCTGCGTGAGAGCTTTGCATGTCCGTTCCTGGTGCTTCAGATGTATATTCTGACCATGATTCTCAGGTAGTTTTTATTTATAAAACACAGCTAAGTAAATTACAAGTTAAGTTTCTTAAAATTTGCATCAACCTGTTATAATTGCCATATTTAGCCTATAGGTTTTAGTTATTTTAAAAATAAGCTGAGCATAGAGTTAAGGTAATCTACAAATTACTATGTAAATTTGATCTCCATTTAAGTGTTCAGGCTACAAGTTTTATATGACTATATTGTAATAAATCAAAATATATGTGTTCATATAATTGCAAGGATTCAATAGCTTTTGAAAAATAATTATTTTTTGTTCAAAGTTTATGTGCTCATTGTCTTCCACACTGTGTTTTGATGGAGCATTCATATATATGCCATGAAAAAAAAGTGTTCTGTGTCCAAAAGAATTTGGAAAATACTTGGATAGATAGATAGATAGATAGATAGACAGACAGACAGACAGAGTGTAAATTCATTTTTGAATGATGCTTCTACCAGTTCAGCCAGTTTTATCTGGACTGTTTTACTTGGATACATTTTGGGGGGGCTGGAATTAAGTTTATAAGCATTTCAGAAACTTAAGTCTGAAAAACAAAATAAAATACTATAAATAACTTTATGATAGAAGTAAGTTTCATAGAATGTTAGTGAGATCTCACACTGAATGAAGTAATGATCAGTGTCTTCTCCAAAATCCTAGGGCACTCATCACATTTCATCTGATCTGCCAAGGCAGATCCCACCTTCTGTGAAAATCATTTGTGTACATGTCTTTCTGGTTTTCTTCCTCCCTCCTTTCTTTCAACTGTAAACTTGTGAATCATGCCTAAGTACAGAAATGTCTACATCTGTATTTGCATCTATTTAAAATACCCCACGGGAAACAGAGACCATGCCCTACTTATCTCTAACCACTGTGCACTTAGCACCCTCGTGTGTGAACATTTAAGGTGCTCCAGTGGTAGTTAATTAAATGGAGGTCAGTTCTGCATCCTGGGGAGGCCACAAGCCTTAGAGAGGAGCAGGCTAACTCGTGATGTGTTACCTGCCTGGCGAGCTTATTTGGGGGCTGCATTTAGTTTTGGGCATCTGCTCCCTGTCCAGATTTCTATGTTTGTTCAGTACACTGCCTCCTCTGAGTCAGTGTGGTGAAGAAAGATGCTCATTCCCACCCCTCTCCCTTCATTCCCAGTTTGATTACTAGGAAGATGGCATTTTGATTGATTGTTGATTGATTGATTGATTGATTGACCGAGGTGATATCAATGTGGACAGGCAGGGGTTTCATAGAATGCAGTGTTTTACTTAGAACATTAGGATTGATCCTTGAGGGCACATGCTATATACTCTTTACCTGAGTCAAAAGTAATTTTCATTTGATCAAATATAAGATTACCAAGAGTTGAATGAATATTTTGTGATAATATTACTAAATAATATGAATATTTAAATTTTTGCTGTTGAAAATTTATCTACTGTTGTGCAAAGATTTATCAAAAACCCAGTACAACCTTTATAAAAGGAGCAGTTGCTATTTTATGATTAAAAAAACCCCTTGGATTTCTTTTTTCATATTCAAAACATCCTGAGCTCTTCTGTGGTAAGAGGTATTGGTTACCAGTATGTTTTATTATTGCAGAATGGGTAATTTATATTTCAATTGTGGTGATTCAGCTCTATTACAGAATTAGTTTTTAATTTGTTGTCTTAAAATTTTTTTCTTTAAATTTTTCCATAGTTGTTAGCTTATTTCTTCACCAGCACTTAAAATTGTTTTCAAGGTTTTCTGCAAAATGAAAGTGGTGATATACAAAAACTCTAGGGAATAAACATCTGGAGGCATGCAGGGCCACTGTCCTGCCCTATTTTCTGGCATTGTGCTGGAGTATTTAATTTTGAAAGCCCTGCATATTTATAGGGAAATAAATGTTTATATTTAAAGTGTTTTATTTAATGATAAATTATGTATTACTATTTCTGAAGTGTTACAGTTTTCTTTTTATTAAACTGATTTTTAAAGTTAACTATGTTTTGTTGTATTATATCAAAGGTAAGAGAATCATTTAGGTTTTGTCATTTTGCAAGTAGTCTTTTTTGTTTGTTTGTTTGTTTTTGGAATGACTGTCTTCATGGTAAAACTTACTGATCCCACTTCTCTTTCCTAAGGTCCTCCAACAATTATGGAAAACATTACATTGCCCTCTGTCTTGCCAATGTTGCTTTTATGCTTCCCTGGGAATTTGCTCAGTTTATACTTTTTACACAGGTAGGATGATTTTAAACTAGTTTAAGTTGGGTGCAGTATGTACTGGTTATTTCTATAGAAGTTTTAAAATATAATTACATTGATGCTCTAAAAGATTTACAAAATATTAAATGATTATAAAAATTACATAAATGTATGATTTAAAAATATAATTCTTTATTCTTTAGTGTATTGGTCACTGATGAATATTAATGATCAATATATAAAGAAATTTTTCTGTTATTTTTATTCACAAATTTTCCTGCTGGAAGGCAAGATAACATCTGTATATCAGTTTCCCTGTAGATTTTTTTTTCTGGGTGCCCAGCTACACCAACTGCTAATAAGGCTAATCCTGCTCTTCATGGTTGGGGTTTCTATACAGGTCCAGCTAAACGCTGGCTATTTTGTCTGGAGAATAGAATTTTACCTGGCACCATGTCTCAGAGTTGTCCTCACAGTATTGCTTACATGAATTGAATCTATATCGGGCTTCCCAAAACAATTAAGTAACGAATGGCAATGTACTGCATCAAAGTTGGGAAGCAGAGGGCAAAAGGACAATGTTGCTGAAATTTCTTGGCACTGAGATTTTAAGGCTAACAAAGGCTAACAAATCCTAACACTGATAATGATAGTAATAATATTCTGTGTTGGAGGTGAGAAATTCTGCCAAGAGGCCTCATGCTGCCAATTATCACAAAGAGTGAGATTATAACCTCAACTTAATTAACATATTGTATGTTTAAAAAATGTTTGAGGTATTTTCATTGCTTTACTGCCATTTAGTTGGCCCCTTTCAGGTTGCAATACAGAAATGATTCTGTGGTTGTCATTATTTGCACATCCCAACATAGGAGAATATATTTTTAATGAGCATTATTTCATTGTGAGCAAATGTATTAATCCAGTGTTTGTCAAAATGATGAAACTATGAGGTGTGATTGAAAAAAAGTATTATTGTCAATAATCACCCCTCAAAAAATTCCCCCTGACTTTGAATGTATTTGTCCAATCATTCTTGCCACTTTCTGAAGCCGTTCTGAAGTCCACTTTCATGAGTATCTTTGTTGTGCTGTCCTGGCTGCCTGCATATTCTGAATTGATTCAAAATGTTTACCTTTCATGGTCATTTTAAATTGCACAGTGCCAGATCCAGTGACTAAGGTAGATGAGGCTCTGGGTTCAATCTCCAGAACCACTAAAAGTAGAAATAATAGTAAGAAAAAAGACACACGGTAATGTTTTTATGAGCCTCTTTTCTTTGAATGCTGCACAGCAGCAGCAAATTATCCAATTTTTGATCACATCTCATAAAGAAACTCAGGAAAGAGGACTCCCAGAACTGTTTCAGAAAGTGACAAGAATGATGGGAAATGTGGGAGGGGGAAGATTTTAGGGTGTGGTTAATGGCAATGTGTCTTTTACAGTAATAAAGTTTTTAAAAAATTTAAACACACATATAGTTCGATCACCCCTTCTAGGTAAGTTCTTTGGATAAGTTTAATATTGCCTTAGTGATTTTCTATCCATTCCAATATATGTATGAGGCTTTTTTATATGTGAAATTTGTTTGTGTGTTTGTCTTTTCATGGTAATGGGATAATTCAAAGTTATTTTTCTGGGAATATTCTAAGATTTTATTCTTGGTTAGATTTGCATAGATGAAGGTTAAAATTAATTAATGTATCCTCACCATACTGTGTGAGAAATGTGGGTTAAGGAGCCAAGGATTGGTGACACTTCAAAGAGAAAAAACTGTGAAAGACAATAATGGATACCTAGAATATTGATACCTTATTATTAAGGTTCACAGTTTGTATTAAGATTCACTCTCCATATTGTATGGTTTTGACAAACACATTAGATTACCATAGAAAGCTCCCTAAAGAAAACCCTGGGCTTCACTTCTAACCCTTGCCATAACCTCCAGCAACCACTGACCTTTTACTGTTTCTACGACTTCGCCTTTTTTATAAAATGTCATATAGTTGGAATCACACAGTGTGTAGGATATTCAGACTAGCTTATGTCACTTAGCAATATGCATTTAAGATTCCTCCATGTATTTTCATGATGTCAGAGCTCATTTCTGTTTAATTGCTGAATGATATTTTAACTGTATGATTGTTCCACGTTATCTGCTCACCTATTGAAGGACATTATGATTGATTCCAGTCTTTGGTGATTATGAATAAAGCTACCACAAACATTTGTGTACAGGTTTTTGGGTGGACATAGATTTTCATCTCAATTGGATAAATATCCAGGATGCGACTGCTAGATTTTGTGAAACTGACAATTTTATCAGTTTTTTATTTATCCATACTGTGGTGAGCAGTGGTATCTCTTCGCTGTTTTAATTTGCAATTCCCTAGTGACATACACTATTGAACATCTTTCTATATGCTTGTTTATCATCTTCTTTGGTGAGGTGTTTGGAATCTTTCATCCATTTTTATTGGGTTATTTTCTACTATTTAATTTTAAGAGTTCTTTGTGTATTTTGGGCACCACTTCTTTATCAGATATGTGTTGTCTAAAGATTTTTCTCCTGGTCTCTGTCTTTAGTGTTGTATTTACATAGTTGCCATCAAACCATAGGTCACCTATCTCTTCGTTATCATTGTGAAGTTTTGCCTTTAGGTCTAAGGTGTAAGGTCTGTGTCTAGAGTCTTATTTTTTCTTGAATGTTTATGTCCAGAGGTTCCAGCACTACTTGTTGGGGACCGTCCTTCTTCACTGAGTTGCCTTCGCTCCTTGGTCAGAGCTCAGCTGCCTGAATTTGTGTGGGTTTATTTCCAGGCTCTCTGTTTTATACCACAGATCCCTTCAACTATTTTTTCTTCAGTTCCATGCTGTCTTGATTTCTAGCTGTACATTAAATCTCAAAGTCTTTTAGTCTCTAGTTGTTTTTAAGTGTTTTCTCTTTGCCTTTGGCTTTGTGCAGATTTTACAATGAGAATACCTGTGTGGTTATGTTTCTTTCTTTCCACCTTATTCCTCCTTGAGTTTCTAGTGCTTTATAAATCAGTGCTTGATTTTGCCTATTAATTTTCTGAGGTTTTTAGCTATATCCCTTTAAATATAGTTTCTACCTAATTGCATCCTGTCTTTATGGAATGTAAAATATAAAATAATTGATCTCCACACTATATACTCAATATCTGTTTTCTTTCAGATATTTTCACCTTTTTATCATTTTGTACTTTCTTCTGGCCTGTCTTCTAGTTGAGCACTTCTTTTGTATTGATTCTGCTTTTAAACTCATCAGTTAATTTCTTAATATTATTGTAATATTTAGTTGTAACATTTAGATTTCTTTTTTCTTTTTTAGCGCTGCCTCGGAATTGTCAATGATATGTAGAATTCCTTGAACATGTCAAGTACCATTTACTTTCATATCTGATGGTGCCAGGCGTTTTTGAGTGGTCTGCATGCAAATGATGGTCTCTGTATTTCTAAAGAGTTTAAAAAAAAGAAAAACCAAAAAAACATATTTAACAGGGACTGTATGTGGACCACAGAGCACAACATATTTACTCTCTGGCCTTGTACAGAACAAGTTTGCTGATCCTGGGTCTAGGTGCTTGGTAGACCTGTTTCTGCAGTCTTAGTGATAATGTCTTGTCTCCTCCTCTCAATCCCGTCTCCTTTTCTCAGCATCTTACCTCCTCTTCTCAGAATACCTCAGTAGTTATTTTTGAAGTGCTGTAGCGTTAATTTGAGACTAAGTTGATGTGAGCTTTCTCCAGAGAAGATTAAATTTGCTTCCAGCAAGAAATAAAGGCACTCAGGGTCTTGAATCATATCTGTGCAATGAGATTAAGATGACTCCGTGGTGGGGTTCAGCCTTTCTGAGGAGTAACCTGTTTTCTGGTTCACTCATAGGGTGTAGTCCTTCGATGCCCCAAACCAAAGCCTGGGTCCTTACCAGGCACCCCCTTCTTGGTATGCCCTGCCCACCCAGTCTGTTGAAACGCCTGCCAAGCCTGCGGGTCTCCCAGCGCCTCTCAACCTGCACACAGCTGCCTGTATCAGAGCTTGCAGATACTGCTGGAAAGAAAATTATCCAAAATACGTGGTCATCAGGATAGATTCCCATCTTTCCCCTGGCTTTACCTTGCTAATTACTTGCTTTGTTAATAATCTATAGCTTTCATATATATCTTTTTTATTTATATATAATATATGTATATAGAGTTCACCAAAAATGTATACAGCAGAAAAGGAAAACTTGTATAAATATTCTAATACTAAATTTATTGAGACAGTGTGAGATGAATACAAGTTACCTATGGCCTCTAAAATTACAAGAGGTGCTCAAAGTGGTCCCCATTAGCTTCCAGACATTTATCAGTATGGTGAACTTTGTGTGTGTGCATGCGCGCACGCGTGTGTGTGTGTTTGTCTGTCTATATCTCCCTACATATCCCACTTCTCAAATGGAAGACTGGTTCAACCTAATTTACCTACCATGAGCAGAAATATGACTCCCCTCTTATATTACTTTACCTGTGAACAGTATTCATTTGCTAGATGTTTTCACTTTTGTGATTTTGTGTGTTTGTTTCAGATGGCCTCATTATTTACCATGTATGTTGTGGGGTACATTGAGCCAAGGAAGTTTCAGAAAATTGTTTATATGAACATGGTAACATTTTTAACTATTTATAAATAAAATATTAAGATAAGTTCCGAGAATTTATAAAACATAATTAATTCTGTTTATTAATACATATAATGTTGATGGTTTCCAGAAAGAAAACTGGAAATGTGCATTACAGATACCATATACTGTCAATTACATTGTAAATGTGTTGAACTCTCTAAAACTTTTTTGTTTTATTTATTTTTGTCTTTAATTTTTTTTTTTTTTTGGGTACCGGGGATCAAACTTGAGACCTTGCGCTTATGAGGCAGGTGGCGGAACCATTGAGCTAAATCCCCGGCCCTTTTGTCTTTAATTTTGAAACTGTCTTTTCTCCCTTATTCCTGAGATTTCTAATACTTTGTGCAAATTGACAGTCTACAGTGGAAATTTTATATTGTTGCATTTTGTTTTTATCTTAGTTCCCAAACATATCTTCCTTAAAACCAGAAAAATTAATCAAGCTTTCTCAGTCATGGAAATCAAGTAAACAGCAAAAACAAGATTATGGAAATATAGTTATGACCAAGTTTTTAGTATTTTGTCATTGAAACAGTAGAAATAACACATTTTTATAACTTTTCTTTGTCCAAGTAACAGAGAAAAAGTTTAATTGTGCTATATGAATTTATGGTCTTGAATTTTAATACTTAGAAACTAGCAGTGACTTGAAATTCTGTGGGCCCAGACCATGAATATTCTTTATACATTTAAAGAATATGTTATTCTTTCGATATTATTTAGATAACATTTGTGTTAGAAATGACTGTATGTCTCCAAAGTATTCATTATGCTATCCACTTAATAACTGTAAACAAGTGGGTTGTTTTTTGTTTTTTTTTTTCTTCATTTTGCAGGTTTCAGTTGTCCTCTGTTGTATTTTGATGTTTGGGAATCCAGTGTACTTATCTTCTTACTATTCTTCATCTTTGTTAATGACATGGGTAAGTGCTTGTTAAGCTCATGAAGGTTTTTGGCCCCCTGGTAAAAGCAGATTTCCATGTCTAGTAAGGGCCATTTCCTGATTATTCACATGAAAAAATTTTTCCCAAATGCAGGTGTTTCTCTACCTTATCCTTGAAAAATAATATAGTGCACAGTTATCCTTTTTAAAGCAACACCCAAGTAAATATTTTTAAAGTGACCACAAGATATTGAGACTTACTTTAAAAACTTAACTAATGATCTAAAAGATCGTTAGTTTATGGTAAAATGGCTTCTTTTCTGTTAAGTCATTTTAGTGGGCTATTTATTACTGTGACACTACTGTTGCCCAAAATATTTTTGGAACTCTTTAAATTGCCTTCACTGACTTTGGCACATTCTTTTGAATATTCTCCATGAAGTCAAATCTTCATCTTTTAAGATTGGATTTGACTTTTGGGATTGACCAAAATCTTATAAATAAAGTGAATGATTGGACTGGGTGATCTAGATTTTAGTCAAAACGTGATATAAGAATCACGTAATAGGACTGATTTTCCTGTACCTATAACTCGGTTATCCTTGAAGGCAGTTTAGAAAACGGAGTTCCAAGCTATTTTGAGCAAAATAATTAGAATAAGTCTATGGCCTCTTTACATGTCTTACTCTCATGGAGTGGCAACACTCAGTTGAGTATAGATAGCACTTGCCTTGTGTGGTGCACTGATTGAATATTTTGGCGTTGTTCTTAAGTTTTAACATGTTTGCTTCCCCTATGCTTTTTCCCTCAAAATAATGAATCTCTTCATTTTGTCCCCCACCCAAACATAAGCTTGCTTTTTCCAACATTGTGTCAAAATTTTCAGCATTACAAGATGGTGATACCCACACACCATCTACCTTTCAGAGGGATTACCCTGAAAATCATATCCAGCATAACTCAGTGAGTGTTAACTGGATTCAAGAGGCAACATTTTAGCCCCCAGAGCAGCTAGCTCTCACTTTGAGGTCATTTGTCATGTCCCTGACCTGAAAAGTCAACAACTGAGAATAAAAATGACTTGATGGCAATTAAGATAGAAGAGTGTGGCTGTGTAATGTTTGAAGTGTACCATTCATATAAAATATAAATGTTAGTGTTATTTATTTCATTATCTGTCACATGAATTTCAGGTGATAATTCTAAAGAGAAATAAAATTCATAGATTCAGAGTATCTGAACTCAACTTGTGGGTAAGTTTCAGTGTTTTTAACAGTTTTTTTTTAAATCCAACTTTTATTTCTAGAAACAATATAATAATGTACTTTAAAAGTAATGGTTTATATTTAATAAGATTTTTGAATAGCTGCTGTCAGAGATAGGAAATAGTTCTGAGCTAGCATTCATTCTTTTTCTATAGTATTTTGATGTGCACCTATTAAAAAATAAAACCAGGGGCTGGAGTTTAGCTCAGTGGTTCTGCCGCCTGCCTTGCAAATGCAAGGTCCCGAGTTTGATCCCTGGTACCACATAAATAAATAAATAATTTTTTTAAAAAACCATACTGGGGCCAGGGATTTAGCTCAGTGGTTCCACCGCCTGCCTCACAAGCCCAAGGCCCCAAGTTCGATCCCCGGTACCAAAAATAAATAAATAAATAAATAAATAAATAAATAAATAAAACCATATTGAAGAGCCATATGTTTATACATTATATATTTACAGAG